GAGAGAGCGTCCAAGTTTTGGTAAAACATGGTAAGGTAAGAACTGTGTGGTAGAAAGCTAATATTTTTAGGTTTTAAAATCTCAGTAAGTACTCTGTTTTTAAAGATAGATTAATGTCCTTGACTGCTTAGTCATATCAAGTGATTCCCTTATCTTCAAAAAAGCACAGGAAAGGGGCGCCTGGGTGGCTCAGTCATTCAGCGTCTGCCTTTGGCTCAGGTCATGATCCCAGAGTCCTGGGATCGAGCCCCACATCGGGTTCCCTGTTCAGCGGGAAGCCTGCTTCTCCCTCTCCCATTCCCCCTGCTTGTGTTCCCTCTCTTGCTCTTTCTCTCTGTCAAATAAATAAGTAAAATCTTAAAAAAAAAAAAAAAAGCACAGGAAAGATTGATCTGGACAATATTCCCACACACTATAGCACTTCCAGGCCTCTTGTTAAATACCTATTTGGCATCCAAATTCTCCTGTCCTCAAAGATGAAAGTCAAGATCCCGTAAGCAATGGAAAAATATTATAAAGCAGTTACGGTTGCAAAATGAGCAGAAAAAGTTGGGAGATGGCAGACAGCTGGTTAAGGCCTAAGTTTACTTCTTGGCACCAATGCACCTCTAGTGTGCCAATGACAAAGTATCTCCTCCAGAAAGTTAACTCTCCCCAGTCGACACAAATCAAGTCCATTGACTCGGGCATCACATCATGAAGATTTTTAACTTCACCTAGGTTTATTCAAAGAATGAGTGGGCTTACATGTAGAATTTGGCTGCTTCACATTTAATGGTTATATTAGCCAGAATTCTCCAGAAAAACAGAACCAATAGGATATATACAGATATTTAGGAGGAGATTTATTATAGGAATTAGCTCAAAAGGTTATGGAGGCTGAGAAGTCTCACGATCTGCCATCTGCAAGCTGGAGAACCTGGAAAACCAAAGGTATAATTCAGTCAGAGACTGATAGCCCAAAAACCAGTTCTGGTCTTCAAGGGCAGGAAAAGATGTGTCTCAGCTCAAGAAAAGAGTCTTTTTTTTTTTTTTTTTCTGTTTTGGCCCTCAATGGATTGGATGATGCCTGCCCACATTGGGGAGGGAGGATCTTCTTTACTCAGTCTTCTGAATCAAATGCTAATCTCCTCCAGAAACAACCTCACAGACACATCCAGAAATCATGTTTATTTGCTATATGTGTACCCTTTAGCCCAGTCAAATTGACATGTAAAACTAACCATCACAATGATGTAATAGATTTAAGGGTTTTGATATCTTGATACAATTTTTATCATCATTTCTCCCTCCCTAGTTTTTAGGCAGACTGCCACAACAGCCTTGAGCACCTCCTGATCATCTTCTTATTGCAGGCAGTGATTTTTCTGATAATAAACAGAGCCAATGCAATGTATTCTTCCTGTTAATAGAATTGCAACTCTATGGTATAGTAAGACTTGCTTCTAGATATTTTTCTGTTGTAGTTTTATATAACATTTTTATAGGTAACCTTTTTGCTTAGAGATTATCGATTTGAAATCTTATTACTGCAGTACACACTTGTCTAATGAGAATCTTTGTGGTAAGTTTGTGTTTACACTGATAGTGCCATTTAAACTTTATACCATAGCCAAGGAAACAATATGATAATGATGCTCAAAATTAATCTTAACATTTTGCTAGAGTTAAATTTTCCAACTCACTTTAGGCAATGTATACTTTTCAAAAAAAACATATCACAGTAACATTTTCTATTTAGAATTACTATGCATATGTTTTGCTTATCCACTCCATGAAAAAAAAACTCTTAGAAAAAAGTGGCATTATTTTTATTAGGTGGGGGAGTGTGAGTGTGTGTGTGTGTGTGTGTGTGTGTGTGTGTGATGTATTTATTTATTTATTTTAATATGATTATTGTGTAGTTTACTTAATGGGTTTTAGTTTGAGTTTTTGAAAGGTATCATGACTATAAGCAAATTGATAGGAAAGTGGGTAACAATGAATTAAAGGTTACTGGCAGCCCAAGACACTGTTTATCTCTTTTGAGGCAGACAGAATTCAAATTGCCTTCATTAGCTGAGCAATATGCTGTGGAAAATGAGCTGGGTACTTATCAAGAGGCTCTTTTCATTTGCATTTTTCCTAAATTATCAAGCTGCTCTGTTTTCTAGGTGCTTAAGAGCTGTGAATAGGAAAGAAAGAAAATTTTTCAGTTAAGTAAGCTTGGGGGCATTTGAGGACTAGAGTAAAAAAAGAAGTTTATCAATGAAGATGTCAGAATTGTTTCTTATATGTATGTGATACAAAAAGGTAATCTTACAGACAGGATGTAGGATGTACAAATGCATTAATTCTCCCCACAAGCACCAGTAACACAGCAAAGCTAGAGGCTGTTCTTTTGATAAATGATCAATACTTCAGTATGACACCACCTTAGCTGTCCTGCTGTTGCTAGTTAAAAGTCTGAATTTCAATTAAGCAGTAAATCTTTATGGTATTACATCTTGAACAGACAGTAACTTCTCCCTAATCCCCTACAATTCTGAAACACTATGATTTTTGTAGTCATTTTCCTTAAGCTCACTCAAAAGAAAAAAATATGTTTATTTGATCAGTAAAGAAATATTTTCTTCCAAATGAAACACTAATTATTAAATAATTTGTTTTGTTTAACAGTATGCCTATGTACAAAAATTATTATACTTCTACAGTATAAATTGTATTAATACATAACCTGAGTCAAAAGTCCATTGGCATGATTGTATATCTTTAGCTCATATGTTCTATTTCAATTCTATCTCACATATATATTCCTTGGAAAACCTCTTAAGTTGTGCAAAACACAGAAGCATTCATAAAGAGCAATCATACTTAAATCAGTGTAAACATTCTCATTTCCTCTGTCAACTCAGATGTCCCTATAGATTTTTTCTTAAAGTTTTTTGTTTATTTTCAAAAAGTATTTCTTGATACCTAAAAAATGCAGTTAATAGAGGATAAAAAACGTGTGCAGCTTTCTTAAGGATTTCAATATTTTAAGAGAAAATATAGGCCATTTGATAGGCACCATCACCCAAATTAACACTTCAAAGATCCAGAATTACAGTAGCCTTAACAATCAGATCTATTATTAGAATAAAATATAATTTTGGAATTATAATTACTGGAATAAAAAATAATTTTCTCTGTTTAGAATTCCAGAAGAAGTCTTTTCCCAGAAACAAATGCAGTTTTGCCTCCATCAGCAAAATTCTACCCTTATAAGTGCTATTCTTCTCAATCATTTAGAATGCAAACATTTATATTAACAATTGACTTGAAGATGTCTGAACTACTTCATTAGAATGCCTGTGTAATTTTGATAAAAATAAGATGGGGTGCCTGGGTAGCTCATCGCTTGAGCATCTGACTCTTGATCTCAGGTCAGGTCTTGATCTTAAGGTCATGAGTTTGAGCCCCATGTTGGGTGTGGAGCCCACTTAATAAAAAAAAAATTAAAATAAGATAAACACATTTAATTTTAAATGACTTATGTATCAAACCAGTGTGGGCCTACTATCACGTTGCAGATATTTTATTATTGGATGCTCAGGCATACAGTAGGTTAAACATTCCTGAATAGAAAGCATGTCTACTTGCAATGTCCCAGCCCTGCAATACAACATACAGAGTGAAAATAAGCATACGGCATGGTAGAGGCTTCTTGAGCTAATGATCAGTTAGCCAGGAATTGAATGCAGCCTGCTCAACTTCAAAGTTTTTGGCTTTCATTACACTACTATATAGTGAAATCTCTCAACATACTTCCATTTGTCTCCAAATCAGTTCTTAAAAATGAAGTCATAAATTCATAGTCAATATGCCTATTAATAATAATGCAAAAGGCTATTTTATTGAATACTAGATGTTTTATTTTCTTTTGGAAAACAGGAACAGGTATTTATTATATTTTCTTTCTTTGAAAATTGATGTTATTTTAAATTTAACTCAACTTATTTCATTCTACCCATAATATGTTTGAACCCTGTGCATTCTCAAAATGCAAGGCTATTACACTAATCCCGCTAACTAAACTTTCTGATGAACTAACAAAGCTTAATTTGATGACTGGGTTTAACTCATCAAGGAGGAATTAAGAGTTTTATTAGCTGATTAGCTGTCACTAAAACAATGCATGCTGTATTTTCAACAAAATTCTACTATGGTGAGGAAGAAAAATATTTAAGTCTTGATTACAAGAATTTAAAAAAGTGGATGCTTAGGAATCTTCTAACTCTAGGATCCTATAATTATGTGAACACTTTTTAAACATAAAATTGAAGTATGGATTGTAATCTAGGAAGAAACACATGCTTCTTATACGAAGTAACTATTCTTTTAGTTATCAAGTTATTTTAAATTTATTTTTGCATATCAGAATAAAGATTAAAAATCTGACAGATTTGTTGGAACAGATTTGCAGAAAGTGGTTTTTTGATAAAATTAAAGATATAACATAAAAAAATAAATTATGTAGTCGTATCATATTGGGAGACCAAGAAAAGGGAAATAAGGATGAAAGGAGCAAAATTTTACAAACTAGAAAGGTGATAATAGAAAAGAACAGGAAAGATGGCAGAAGCTACACTACAAATGTCAATCAGGTTAAGTTTTAAGTGGAAACACTGCAATATAGTGTAGAAAAATAGAAGAATTTCCTTAAGCATGTTCCATGACTTAAAATACTATGAAGTCTTTTAAGTGACATTTTATAGAAAACAAAATTCACTCTATTTACAGAACACAGTGTAAAGTTCTAATCTCTAGGCAACAGACCACACAAAAAACTAGTAATGTCTACTGACCCATAGAAATTCTTGTTCTAAAATGTTATCAAAAAGCTTCATATCATGTTTTATCATTTTAAAAACAAATTTAGAATCAACACCTTAAAAGTTTCTAAATTACTAAATCACTTGGGCATTCCAAAAATAAAAATAAAACTATTTGCAATGTAAAAAGCTATACAATGCACTTACCATCATGATTAGGATTTCCTAGTGTCCATGGCTCATCTGAGTCAAAATGAGTATCTCCCCCAATTCCTGGTCCAGGGAAGTAGGCATGTGCCAAAAACCCTCCCTCTCCATCAAAGGGAGAACTATCTCCATGAAAACCAGATGCGAAAATGATGGTTATATCCACATCGCGTTTGCCATTTTCCAATTCACTGTAAGGAACTTCTTCAAATGTCAGAGGAGTTACATTCTGCCACACATCAAAGGCACGGCGAATAGCTTTGCGGGTTTCAGGGTCTCCTACTTTAGGAGTTACGTTCTTTATACTGAAATTTAGAGAAGAGAATAATAAGTATGTCTTTTTAATATACAATCTGATTTATTACAGATTGGCTTTTTACAGATTTTGTTCTATTCAGTTGAGTAAAATACTGGAAAAACAGCCTTATATTAAATAGGAAAGAAATTAATCAATGCCTCATATCTTTATAGCTAGGTTTCATTACACTGGGGTCATTTAATTCTCAGCAGTATAGTATTCATCTGGCAAGGCTATAAACAGAAGTTCTCTGCAGAATGGGTTAACAGTAGGGTAACTGGATCAATCAGTCACTTTGCCTCCTGAACAACAGAAAGGCAGCTTTGCCAAATGATCAAACAGGTGCAAGAGTCTCGAGCTGAAATTAAAAATTCAGTTTCTTTCTTGTTATCATTACTTTTAGGGGCACATCATTGTGTGCACACATGTTACTTCCAAACAATGTCGTTGTGTTATTCTTTATCTATGAACACCAATTCAGCAGACACAAAGTTATTTCTTAGTTTTTTAAAGAAAAGGTTAATTAATTATAGTTTCTTATGTTCTATTGTTTTCTTATGATATACTTAATTCTTTCTTGTTATAAAAAGCAATGTGAGTGAATGGCTTTTTGTATTAAAACAAAAATTTAAAATTATATGAAATTAAAGAGTGACTTGGACATTATTTATTTAGTTTACTTTTCTTGAGGCTAATATCAAATGGCCACTTCGACCAACAATCTTACGTCCATGAATCCATATATTTATACTAAAAAAATCTTAATACATAAAAGAAGGAATATTTATTGCAATGCAGTAATAAAAGAGAAATGGAAGCTAAACAATTTAAAATGATGGAGTAGTAGTTAAGTTATGGTGTCTCTATTACATGTCATAATATAAATAGGACTCAAAATTATTTTTTGCCATTTTAGGCTATTTAGCAGCATAGAAAAAATTTCAGATATACTTTCCAGTGGAAAAATAATATGCAAATTATATTTTTAGCCCACTTGTAGCTATGTCTCAATAATTACAAATATTAGGCAGGTATCATACCGAAATAATAATAATGGTGTTAACTGAGCATTTACTATGAGCCAGGCAAGCATTTTACAGTAGAAAACTTAAGAGAACATTTAGAGTGGTAGAGCTGGTTTTTCAGCTTAAACATTCTGACTCAAGAATCCATTGTCTAAGCTAGACCACACATCTAAAACAAGGTTTTCACTATTTTCTAATACATACATACATTATTTGATGGTAAATTATCATTCATTGTATATAAAGAAAATGAAGAAGCAAACCAGGTGGAAATGGAGTTGGGGCAGGGAGTGTTCCAGGAAGGAGAAATGACCAGTGAAAGGCCTTGAAGTTGGAGACATGCTTAGTGAGCTCCAAGAATGGTGAGGTGGCCACAGCTGGATATGAGGCCAGAAAGGTAGCATAAAATCAAAGATTTTGGCCACTGTAAAGAGTTTGGCTTTTGTTCTAAGTGCGAGGGGCAGAACTGGAGCATAATGAGCTAAGTGATATTGGACTTACACTTTTTAAACAAATGACTGTGCATTACGTGGAAAATAGACTGAAGTGAAGCAAGAGTTGAAGCAGGCAGACCCACTGGGAACTCTTGCAAAACTTTAGGTGAGAGATGACGGTGGGGGCCAGGGCACTACCAGCAGAGATATGGAGAAGTAGATGAATTCTGGATAAATTTTGAGGATACACCTGCCAAGATGTACTGATGGTTGGACTAAGGCTGTGAGAGAAAAGGAGGTGCCAAGGAAGACACCATATTTTCTGAGCTGAGCAAAAGGATGGACAGAGTAAAGTAATTCAAGCCTGTTCAAGGAGAACGTTATACAGTACTTTGTTATTGTTGTTTTACTTGTTTAATTTCATGTCCTTTCAGCGTGATGCTCTGAACTCTATTTTGAGAAAGGGTAAATTTCTATATTGAGACATCCGGTGATGCTTCTGTCTGGCTTGTTAATCTCTAAATTTCCTGTCTGATGGCTGAAGAGCATTCAGATTAATGTTGTAACTTTGAATTTCATCTAAATTAATTTTCCTAGGAGTCTTCTATTTTACTCCCACCCTACAGGAAGACCCTCATTTGTGGGGAAGTATTTTTATGACACATTATTTGAAAGAACGTACTACATAAGGGCTACTGCTCTAGGTGCTTAAGAGATAGAGCTGTGAATAAGACTCTGCTCTTGTAAAACTTATATATTTTAGTGATAAGAGATACACACACAAAAACCCAACAACATCAAAAAGATAATTACAGATGGCAACAAGTGAAGGGTGAGGAGGTAAGGTGAGTAGATGATAAATGGGATTTCAATGACAAAAGGAGCCACACATGCTTAGCTAGCACGAGTTTCTAGCCAGGAGGAACAGTGAGCAGCTCACACACATTTGGCCAGTTCAAAGAATGGCAGTGCTCAGGGAAATGGTGTAAAATGAACACTCAGGACAGTGGTTTGAGATTAAAGAGAACAGGCAGGAAGCAAGTTATACTCTGTGAAAGGAAACCACTAGGGAGTTTTAAGCAGAGAAGTATTTTGGTATTATTCTACAAAGATCTTTACTTACAAAGATCACTGTTTCTGATGAAAAATGAGTAAGAAGACAAGCATGGAAGCAAAGAAACATTTTGGAAGCCCAAACAAGAGAAGACAGAGACATGTCCCAGAGTGGTAGTCATGGAGATATGAAGAATTAGACCATTTCATTATATATTCTGAGGGTATTGTTAATGGGAATTGGTGTTGTATTCAATGTGTAATGAAGAATTTATTTTGTTTTGAAATAAAAGATAATCATACAAAAGAAAAAATCATTAGTATGATATGTATATAAGTATATAATGGTTCTGAGAAAAATGAAGCAACATAATGAAGAATAATAAATGTGGGGGCGCCTGGGTGGCTCAGTTGGTTAAGCGTCAGACTCTTGATTTCGGCTCAGGTCATGCTCTCAGGGTCGTGCGATCAAGCCCCATGTCCAGCTCCATGCTCAGCACAGAGTCTGCTTGTCCCTCTCCTTCAGCTCCTCCCTCTGCTCCCCCCCCCGCCCCCTGCTCTCATTTTCTCTATCAAATAAATAAAATCTTAAAAAAAATGTAGAGTATCATTTGGATTTGTAAATACATCACCGTGTTTTTCAAAGCCAAGCTCGATTAACTTCCAAAATATACTTAACCACAACATTTGTAATGTCATTAGTAAATACAAGACACATAATGGGTGCCTGGGTGGCACAGTCGGTTAAACTTCCAACCCTTTTCAGCTCAGGTCATGGTCTCAGGGTCCTGATCTCAGGGTCATGGGATCAAGCCCCACCTGGGGCTCCTCACTCAGTACAGAGTCTGCTTAAGACTTTCTCTTCGTCTCTTTCTGCTCCTCCCCACCGTGCTCTCTCACGCTCTCTCTCTCTCTCTCAAATAAACAAATAAATCTTTAAAAGACACACAAGTGTACTTCCAAGTTAGTGTTCTGAATGAAGTACAAAGACATTTAGGAATTTTTATGCCATTAAGATGTATTTTGTATTTACTAATAATTGAAATAATAAGGGCAACGGAGATATGTGATATAAAGAATAATAGGACTGTTAGTAGTTCTAATACATGATACACAAAGTTATTAATATATATATATTTGCAAAACAAAAAATGCTATAAAATGAATAAAATGAAGGTTATATTTCAAAAACTTAATAGAACTAATTTAATTTTAAAATGTTTTGGGGCACCTGGGTGGCTCAGTCAGTGAAGCGTCTGCCTTCAGCTCAGGTCATGATCCCAGGGTCCTGGGATCGAGCCCCACATTGGGCTCCCTGCTCGGCGGGAACCCTGCTTCTCCCTCTCCCACTCCCCCTGCTTGTGCTCCCTCTCTCGCTGTGTCTCTCTCTGTCAAACAGATAAATAAAATCTTTAAAAAAAATGTTTTTACTTTGCTTTTCTGTAGACAGAGTACTTAGAGTGAGCATACTTTTCATTCTAATAAGACAATTTATTTCATTTTTTGAAGACTTTATCAGGTTTTTCCATTATGCCATTTCACTGATTCTTTTAAACCTCCATGTTGCTAAATTTTGAAACTTTTACCTAAAAAAATTAATAAATGTTACCATTAATTCATTAATGACCATGCCTTATACAACCCTACATAATAAAGCTGATCAAGTGGAAATTTTTTTTTTTACCTCTTTATTCATTGGAACAATTGGTAGTGAGGTATGTCAATTGATTTATAAGATAACTGTGTAAAGTCAGGATTCCCTAGCTTTAACTGCACTGAATCCATACCAATTCATTTAATAACAATTCCACATATTAATCATGGAGTATTTCCTCTTTAACTTTTTCAGAGAGTAATAAATCTTTTCCAAAGTTAGAGCATTTTATTTCTAATATGAAAGTAGGAAAAAAAACTAAATATTTTGGCATTTGTATTGTGTATTAAAGGTTAAAAGAAGCTTATACTCTGCCTTTTTATTCTCAGTGAAAACATATAAATCTCACAATGATAAGTGAGATGTTAAGTTTACTACACTACTTCTAAGATAATTTTTAAAAGCGTAAGAATTTGACATTCAGAGAAACAGGAAATTCTGAGGGAATGAGACCTTTATTAACAAAACTCTACTGAAATATGTATGTGTTTTCTTTATTGATGACACTGGAGGAATTATTTTGCTTCATTAGTTCTGTAAAATGGATGAATGTAAAATGTAAAAATATCAAACATTTGTTCATTTGAACAATGTTACAGTAAATGTGAAACAAGGCCATTGCAATAGGTTTTGTCCTTTCAAATGAAGTAAACTCTAATAAGTTACTCGAGTGACATAGGAAATATTACCCAGTGCCTAGTATTACTGTGTAAAGTCAGGATTCTCTAGTTTTAACATCACTGGATCCATAGTAATTTATTTAATAACAACTCTATATATTAATAATGATTATTTGCTCTTTAAATTTTGACAGTGATAAATCTTTTTCAAAGTGAGTGTA